GGGACGTGGGGATTTGGGGACGTAGGGATTTGGGGACATGGAGATTTGGGAACGTGGGAATTTGGGAACGTGGGGATTTGGGGACGTGGGGATATGGGGACGTGGGGATTTGGGAACGTGGAGAATTGAGGACGTAGGGAATTGGGGGATGTGGGAATTTGGGGACGTGGGGATTTGGGAGCGCGGATAATTGGGGACGTGGGGAATTGGGGGACGTGGGGATTTGGGAGCGTGGGGAATTGGGGACGTGGGGATTTGGAGACGTGGAAATTTGGGAACGTGGGGATTTGGGGACGTGAGGAATTGGGGGACGTGGGGATTTGGGAGCGTGGGGAATTGGGGACGTGAGGAATTGGGGGACGTGGGGATTTGGGAGCGTGGGGAATTGGGGACGTGAGGAATTGGGGGACGTGGGGATTTGGGAGCGTGGGGAATTGGGGACGTGAGGAATTGGGGGACGTGGGGATTTGGGAGCGTGGGGAATTGGGGACGTGAGGAATTGGGGGACGTGGGGATTTGGGAGCGTGGGGAATTGGGGACGTGAGGAATTGGGGGACGTGGGGATTTGGGAGCGTGGGGAATTGGGGACGTGAGGAATTGGGGGACGTGGGGATTTGGGAGCGTGGGGAATTGGGGACGTGAGGAATTGGGGGACGTGGGGATTTGGGAGCGTGGGGAATTGGGGACGTGGGGATTTGGAGACGTGGAAATTTGGGAGCGTGGGGAATTGGGGACGTGAGGAATTGGGGGACGTGGAAATTTGGGGACGTGGGGATTTGGGGACGTAGGGATTTGGGGACGTAGGGATTTGGGGACGTGGGGATTTGTGCATACAGAGATTTAGAAATATATAAAGACCTAGAATTTCAGAGACTGCAGACATTAGAAATGTGGACATTTAAGACCTTGCAAACCTAGAAACTTTTAAAATTAAAGCTTGCAGAATTTCGACTTCTATACACCTGAGGATTTGCTACTTTCAGAATTAGTAAATGTAAGAAATAAAGTTTGAACTCAAGAAGTAATTCATCTATGTCCCACATCCTTCTGAATTCCACTTCAAGTGGAATGAAAAATGTCCACAAACATTCGAATATACAAGTTTCCAACAATAAATAATTCCGTGAGGAGAAAAATGCGAAGGTCACGCTTAATTGCGCGAATGGAGGAGATCACGTATGTAAAATAAGGGAGAGGAGATATATTACAAGACACGTGTAACTCGATGAAAATTAATATATTCGTGAACGGTTGCGACAAGCGTAGAAACGCATGTTGCAACACTGGCGAGCGGATCTCCTTCTGAGGAATCTCAGTGGCCTCATCGACTACATGGTCTCTTTTAACACAGTATGGTAGCCATTTTGGAGACATGGGACTCTTACAATACTTGGCTAGACGTGTTCAAGGAGATATTAGACGATAAATCTAACCTAATCTTACATCACAAAGGTTTGTAACCTTGCAAGGCATTTTCACAAGATGAACTCTAGAAATTAAGAGAAGCAAGGACGAATCGTCTTTATTTGATGCCACTGATGTGACTAATTAACTTCTGCTTAACTCCTTCATATTTCAAGCTTAACTTACAAGCTAAGCTATTAAGTTACATAATTATTTTGTAACATAAACTTATATGCAACTGTATTTCTTCGAGTAATTCACCAGGGTACATCTTGCAAACAGTAACCGGGAGACCTTTCAGTGTCCCAGGGAACCCAGTGAACCCGACACGCTTCTAAGGGGGTAAACCTGCCGGTCACAATTCACTATCGAAGGTAGGAGTAGAAATCCAAGAGAACGAGAGGTGGAATCGCAAGCTGCGTACGATGCATTTTTCCTTCGGCTCTCGTGGAAACCTGACATTCTGCAGATTCTCGATCCGCCGATCGATGCTGCTCTTCCAACCCGTTTTCCGTGTATCGTTACGAAAGTACGAATGGGTTAACGACTGTTCGTTCCATCTCCATTACCCGTTCTCGAATTCCGCGATGCTCACAATACATAAAAATAGAGGTTATCTCATCGAAAAAGCAACCTGCAAGTTTTTTCGGAGCGGTCGGGATTCCCCAAAGATGATGCGTCTTGAGATGCTAATCGCGCACGCGCATATCCCGGCATGCCTTTCGCGTTTTAGTAAATAGCGTCTCGAAAGAATCGGAGAAGGAGGCTCGGGAGAAGCGTGTTAAACCACCGGAAACGTAACCATTCCCTACTACCTGTCCTCACCTGTGGTGGGGGAAAAATTAATTGACATTCCAACGGACACGACGATTTCTATCGGTGTCGATGAACGGCTCTTGCAAGCGCGTGCTGTTTCGTCTTTACGTGTCTTCAGTGGAGGGGACAGTGTAACTGTATAGGATATGAGTAGGTTTATCGATAGATCTATGTAGCGATATAACGCGAGGATTGTACTTTGAGTCGAGAGAATTTAATGCATTGCGATGTAGCGCTTAGAGGGTTCTACGCGTGGAGATATAGGGAATGGAAGATTCTATGCGTGGAGATATAGGGAGTAGAAGGTTCTACGCGTGGAGAATTCTATGCGTGGCTATATAGCGCGTGGAGAATTCTACGCGTGGCGATACAGTGCGTGGAAAATTCTACGCGTAGAGAATCCTACGCGTGGTGATATAACGCATGGCGATACAGCGCGTGGAGAATTCTACGCGTGGAGAATTCTACGCGTGGCGATACAGCGCGTGGAGAATTCCACGCGTGGCGATATAGCGCGTGGAGAATTCTACGCGTGGCGATACAGTGCGTAGAAAATTCTACGCGTAGAGAATCCTACGCGTGGTGATATAACGCGCGGAGAACTCTACGCGTGGCGATACAGCGCGTGGAGAATTCTACGCGTGGAGAATTCTACGCGTGGCGATACAGCGCGTGGAGAATTCCACGCATGGCGATATAGCGCGTGGAGAATTCTACGCGTGGTGATACAGCACGTGGAGAATTCTACGCGTGGCGATATACCGCGTAGAGAATTCTACGCGTGGCGATACAGCGCGTGGAGACACCTACGCGTGGCGATATAGCGCGTGGAGAATTCTACGCGTGGCAATACGGCGCATTGCGAATTCTATGCGTAGAGAATCCAGACGCGTGGCTATTATGCACACTGCGAATTCTATGCGTGGGGAATCCAATGTGTGGCGATAGAACGCATAGGAAATTCCACTTGTGGCAATATAACGCGTGGAATATTCTACGCATGGAGAATCTAACGCGTGGCGATGTAACGCATGGTGAATCCTACGTGTGATGAATCCTATGTATAGCTATACAATGTGTGGAATACTCATTGCGTAGGTAATACAACGCGTGGCAATATAACGAGTAGAGAGTCAAACTCGTGGTCCAGTCTACGCATCGTACATTAACCCCGAGCACTGCCATATAATATTAACTCATAATGCACTGAATTCTAATTTGTAACCATCCAACGCAAAGTGAAATAAGTGGCAATATAACGAGTGGAAGGCTCATCGAGTAAAAATGATAGTTACGCCAATGCGAAGGTGAGGTAAGAGTCGAATAAGGAGACGGCCACGTAGGGAAAACGATCCGCCTTCGACTGCTCGTGGAAAACGAGTTGACATTCCAGTGAACACCGATGTCGTTGTCCTTACCGATGTGCTCGATGTTACTTATTCGCGCTCTGAATGTCGTTGATCGATCTGGTGCGTGATCTTCGTGAGGAATCGTCTTGACAGACAAGTGGACGTCGGCTAGTAACCCGATAATCATCGATTTCTTCGACGGAATTGAACGGTAATTTTCTTTGAAAATTGCTGGAACGTACTCGAAGTGTACGCAGACTTTAATTATAATTTTTGTAATTATTTGCAAGCGATTTGTAATTTTTTAAATCGATTTCAAATTTTCCCGCGTCAATACGTAGCGTTGTCACTTTTATTATCGCGTAAACATTGCGATGATACATTAATTTCTGTTATGCCATTTTGCTCTTAGGTTTCCGGTTTCATCTCGGTTTCTCTATATTGGTTTTGCAATAAAAAGAACATAAACGCGCTTTCCTAGGAAGAGCACTGCGCAGTTTACCAGCTGCGCGGCAAAACTTTCTCGGGCTCTTCTGTTTACCTTCCACATACTGCGCGTCTCGTTCTTTTTTTCTAGAATAAATTACGCGACGACACGACGTAAATACAGTAGGAGAATATTAAGGCACCTTAAAAATATACTCTTCTCATGAATTTATCGCGACGTACGTTTATTATAAACTTACAAAAAAATTTTTCTCATTGTTCACCTACGTGCTGTAGTGTAATAGCTCTCAGCTATGACATTTAACATGTGCGTCACAATAATCTTGTAGAAAACTATTGAATATACTTTCAAATGCACAGTCAGATGCGTTGTAGACATTCTTCACTCAGGGACACACATATGTGAGAAATTTTTAATTTTATTTTCTGGTTTAAAATTCCTAAATGTCCAAATTCCTATGTCCACTTTCAATGTCATTAAATTGCGCAAATCAACGAGTGTCAAAGTCAACGAGTGAAGTTCTTGGACATTAAATTTTTCTTAGAGAAATTTCCTCTTGCCCATCGATACTCGTAAAAAGAAACAAGTCATTAGCGCCAATAACGAGTTTATAAGTGGACATTCTCAGCAGTGCCATCATGCTACACCCGATAAAAAAGAATACAGCGCATGAAATTAGCTCGGATTACAGTGACAGAGTATTTGTACAAAACACGAATGTGAATCATATTCCGAATGCGAGACAATGGCAAAAGTTTAGGAGAGGATTTTCCTGAAAAAAATATGGCGTTTTTAACGCGTGGCGACTGATCGTTCTCATTGATTCCGCGGTTGAAGAGGAGAAAATGAATATTTGCGGTGCAACCGCGGGAGCCAGCGAAACTAGCAGCCTTCGGAGAGAACAGCACTTTCTTCGTGGTGTCGTGGAAAACGACGCCGTTCTAACGGACGCGAGTTTCATTCAATTTTCGTTTCGTTCTCACTGCGTCCCGTTGCGTTTTCACCGGTGGAGGATATTACGCGATCCCGCGGCGATAGGAGCGGCGCGATCAAGCGGAATAACGAGAAAGGAATGCCAGGAAAAAAGCATCCTCGCTGTGGAGATCGTCGGCGACAGCTTGGAGAGGTTAGAATGTAGGAGGATGAACTCGCTACGCAGGATTATGCATACGAGAGGTGCAATCCTCTCGGGCGTAATTAAGAAAAAACGAGGAGGCGAGGAACGTCAATGACGCTGGTATCATTAAGCTTCCTCTCACCCAGGGCTCTATGCGTATAATGAGCTATTACGCCACACGCGCGATATTACCGCGGGATACAGCGGTGCATATAAATACAGAGCGATGGATGCAGGAAGTGGATGAAAAAAAGGAGGAAGATGCGGAGCTATTAAACGGATTATTCGATCCACGGATAATCTGCTGAACGACCGATTCGTTAGCGCCCGTTCGTATCAATTTCCACTTGGCGTTCTGCACTTTCGGTTTTCTTCCACGATCGCGTAACATCGCGGTTTCTCCTAGCCTTCTCGATAGCCGTGCAACTATTCACCGGCATCGAAAAAGGTCCAAAAGGAATAAGGTCCTACCTGTTGAACAGCGCTCGCTTCCAGCTGATCCTCTCGAACACGCACGCACGAAATCACTGCACCAAAAAGGACGTGGTCTCAACCGATGCACCGGTTGGACGACGTCATCGTCGATGAGAAAACAACAAAGTCCTTCGAGCGATCAAATGTCGCGGGGAAGAAAAAGAGAGAAGCAAAGGAGGGAGAGAGAGGAATGCGTGCAGAGGCGATCGAACCGTCGTGATTCACTGAGCCGACGATCCTTGACGGTTTTTTAGACTGCAGCCATTTCGAGAGTATCGAGCGAACGGTCAGCGGTGCTTGGACGTTACGCGATAAAGATCGTTCGATTTCGACAGGTGGTAGCCGTGCACCAGGACACAACACCAGGCAGCGCCGAGAAGGATGCGACGGGGCCACGTCCAAGACTGACTCGAAGAGGCTCGGCTCCGCTCGACTCGACTCGACTCACCTCGACTGCCTGGCATTGCGAAGCAGCCGCGAGCGAAAACTCACTTTACGCTCCCGCGGCCCCGAACGTTTGCCCCCCGCCAGATTACCGACTGCCTGTTCGCCTGCTTTCTTAAGGCTTGCCGTGCTTGCTCGCCTGAATACCTGCTCTCGCGCTGCCCCTCAGCCCCCCGATACCGCTGCCCCTACCCTCCCCTGCCGATATGCCTCTTACACCGAACACTTCTGACGTCTCTTCTTGCGGCTCTCTGGCTCCCTCTGACAGCCAGACCACACGACATTCGGGTCACCGATTTGCCTCCAATTTCTGTACACCGTCAAGTACTTCACCCAACATTTGGACCAACTATCCTTGCTCTTCGATTTCCTCCAATTCGAATCTCCATGTCCGTGTACGAGCGCGGAATGCGTAGATGCGACCTTCAAACGATCTTGACCAACTTTTTCGGATGTCCACGTTCGAACATCCTAGTCATGCGTGATAGGTGTCGCGAATATCCTTCCATCTTGTCTCGCAGCATGACGCGTGGAAAGATTCGGTTGCTCGAGAAATAGACTGATCGATCGACGTCGGAATATTGCAACCACGCGATTACATGGAATTATGAAAACGCATAAATCGCAACGTAGGAAAAAAAGTCGTTCGTGAAATTCTACTTGGTCGAAACGAGTTTACGTTTCTGGTCGCGAAATTTTATGCAATTCAGCCTTCGCGCGGAATCAGTATTCCGATATCGTCGATACGTCGACATAGGTATCCTTCGAGCGGAAACTAAATTTCATTCAGTTGGCTTTACTCGCGTAGTAAGCGTGCCCGTCAAGCGCGAATCAGGCCTCGCGCTTATACCAGAGTCTGTACATTTTAACCTGTAGCGGCAAAACCTTTCGATCGGAATGGAAAGCGAGCAGCCTGAACACGCGGCGTACAGCTTGATCGAATAGTATTCATTCGCGCTTCGGGCTGCGTACAGATTGGAGAACGAGTTTTGTCTCCCGCGAGATTCCTGCCCGTTCTTGCCACACGTTAAAAACTATGTAGTATTTTACTTAAAAATAAGAACCTGAATTATAGTCTTGTTGCAAGATTGTTTACGATAGAACATTCTAGGGATACCTAGATTTACAAATGATAAATGCATTCCTAGAGTAGGTTCACTTAAGCATATAATTCCTTTAGAGAAATATCTGAATGATTAAAAAATATTTACAATGCAGATGTATTTAGAGATCGTAGTCAAGAACCTTGTAAGTTTAAGGCAGTTCTAGGGATCCCCAGATTTCCAAAACAATTTCGCAACAGTTCGATAAATCTAAAGCTACCCAAATTTAGGGAATAAGTTCAGCTATAGAGTCTCATAAGTTGAGACTAGATTTAAATTCCTGAATTTTCTGGGTGGTTCTAGGTTCGTGCATGTTGGTGCATTTTTTATAATGAACATGTTTCGACAGTTGCAAAATGTAAAACCTTACGGATATCTAATTCATTTCGGATGTAGAACGAAGTGGTAGGTTTTAAGCATTCGCTCGATGCTTAGTCACGCAACCGAGTTCTGTCTACACGTGTGTACATCGGCATGCTGCGGTAAATGCTCGATCTTTAATCGAAACAGCTCCACGCATGGATAATTTTTCGCGTGCTATCGCGCTGGAAATGTTTAATTACTGAGTCACTAGCAAGGCAACATTTTGCAACGCGAGATTACTCGAGCACGTACGAGCAAATGAATTCATTTCGAAGTAAATTGTTCCGATGAAAGGGAAACCAAAGAAATTTTGCATTTATCAAAACTCGTATTAAATACTTACACTTTGACGCTCCACCATCGAACTTACAATAGATCACTTTTTTGCACTTGTAACACAACCTGTAAAATTCATAAACATATAGTTAAAGGTGCATATCTAAGGACTGTCCTTCGATCTGGTTTTTCTTCATTGCTCCTTAAATCCAGTTCGAGTCCAAGTGAAGAGTAGAAACTTGAACTCTGTCCACTTTTCTAGAAACAAGTTGCAAATCCCGATTTTCCGGTAAGCTGCAGAGGAACTAAAACTCGAGAAGGAACAGTCCTGGAGGCCGACGTACCTCCGTGGTTGTCCTCGAAGCGAGCCAGAGAGCCGGTCAGAGGGAGAGGCCGCATTCCAAGCCACGGAGAAAGCCTCTCGCGCATTTAACCACGGGATGACCGTCCAGAGGTCGCGTAAACGAGCTCCATGGACCCGTTAGTTCGGCTCTAGCCTGGAATTATCCGGTTTGATTGCTTGTTTTCACGGATTTTTTCCCCGCGATCAAAGCATGCGGAATTCTTGCCAACACTTGCATATCATCGTGCAATCATAATTATTACCTACATCTAGCCGTTCTAACTTCTGGAGCTTGGACAAGTTTCATTCGACACGCGTTACAGTTCTGATCGAAGATTCCGGACATTCAAGGCCGTTTCACTCGTCTGTTACCTAGGAAGTTGCCACTTTCACGCAACATTAGTCTACTTCCCGTGATGCGACTATTAGGTTCTCTTCGATCATAGACCGGTATCTGGTATGTGCCTAGGATTTTTCGGGTCGGCGCTCATCAATCTCTCTAGGTTCGAATTCAAATCGGGGAAAGTACGGTGTAACGTTTGAGGACGTTCGGTACACCTGCCACAAGGTGACTGCATTCCACGGCGAGGTGAAACGTAAGGAGCGGGATCCGCGCTGGAATGTATGTCGGATTTGCTGGAATACTTTACGAACCGCTAGCAATGTGCCGGCAATTATATGTATCTCGCCGTGTGCACAGATCGTTTGTTTTTGCCAGGTCGGCCTACTTACGTCGCGTATGATTAACTCGCGACTCAGCCTTTGACACGATTGCGATCCATAAAACTTTCGGCTCCTCCTTTGATTATGACGAACGTTCATTTTCTTTATTCCGTGTTCCTCTTGTGAAATTCTTTTATACTCGAAGGCGATTTATACTTCCGAAACATTGCTTCAGCAAGTGGTTGTTAGCGATGTGTAAACGGGTCATTTACCTTCACCACGGTTAAAATCGCTTTGCATTATGGTAACGGAAATCTGTTGTGCGCGAGATGTACTATATCGTTGTATGTTAATTTGTTGAGTTTTGTGTGCTATGTGTTGTTACCACACGTTAGTTTCACCACGCGTTTCGTATGCATTGGTCGTCCACATAATCACCGATTTACACATTGTTTCATTACGTGCTAAACTGTCCACGTGCTATTTCTATACATTATATCACTTTTCCACGCATTAGTTTCCTATGTGTTATTTCCACACTACCTTCACGCATTGCTGCATCTACGCGTTGTAATAAACGTTATCATACACTGTCCTCTCATTTTAATATCCATCCGCCAACTCCATAAGCAGCTTTAGTATTTTGTGAGGGGCTTAAGAGATGAATCTCCATCAGCCTTAATTTTTCTGTAATACAGCAGATCCACACCCAGGCATCTTGCTCAAGTATTAGCGTTTGATCAGATAGTACGATCAGCGGTGGAATTTTGCGCATTCTTCGTCGTTGGAAAAGCAGGTTTCTCCAGACAGCGGATTAACTTGCAATTTTAGTTTAATTTGACAGTGTTTATGTGCATTTAATGCATAGCGGACTGTCTCACGACTTGGCTACTTTGCCTGCTTCTTTATGCGCGATCATAAGCAACGTGATCATCCCAGGGTGTCTCCATAAATGGGTTTTTTGACGACACCAGCTACCATGCGAGGATATTTCACCCAGCGGTTTCTGCAGCATCTATGGGAGGCGCAGCCATTGCGTACTACGGAGTACGCATGCTGTGATGATTATATGAACACGTTCTTCCATGTGCAGCGGAATGGCATTTTTCCGGGATATAGTGATTCTGCAAATGAAGAACGCGTTCTCTTTCTACACGGAACAGCGTGACTCGCGCGTGAATCAGGCTTCGTATAACGGGATATGAAAATTTCATTCAACCCCGTGATTTAAACGGCACTGATGGTTTCGGTTCATCAAACCAGCTGATGAAATCTGTGGCACCTCTTATGTCCTTTTAGGTCTAAGGGGTTTGAATTAAACAGAAGTATACTTTTAATCGTTTTATTTAAACAATACAATCAATATGCACACGCTGCGCCAAATACGTCCGTCAGAACTAAAGACCTAGAAACCTTGAATGCCCCATTCTGTTTATGGGCTTAGATTAAATGCGATGTCCTTTTCCTGCCACGTTCTTAAGGATCATAAAAGGCATCCGATCAGCGAACGAATTTTAAATCCATAACCTGTTCCCGTTGTAGGATAAGGCTGTTCGATTAGGTGCTTATAGCCTGAGCGTTACATAAATTGATGTGGTAACATGCTGTAGGAGGCTAGAAGGAATGGCCTGGAGGGTTGGCGCACAAGGTGAGGGGGAATATTCCTTGCGGAATACGTTTTCGTGACAGTGTCGTCATTATCCATCGGTTAAGGCACTAAGTGTACATGGAATAGCAAGAGAAGTTGCGTGTGCGGCTCTCAATATTATGGCCAGTGGGACTCCTATTCCTTCCACGGGCATTCTTTGCTACATTCTGCGGCGTATAAGCACCTCGTACGCCAGCAGAGACTTACCTGCTATACCTTTTGCAGATAGTTAATGTGGAATAAAGAATATGGATAGAATGGAGAGCTAGGAAGGTGTTCTTTTTATTCCAACAGGATGCTAGTGAAAAATGTGGCTGGATTCTTCGAGGTAGGAGGGTTTTCTAATAAACATACCTTGGAACTGACAGTTCCATGTTTTGCATAGTTGACGTTTAATATTCGGTTTACAATAAATGCTCTATAGATGTATTGCAATTTGTACACGGATACCTGTAGCTTTGGCTGGTATAGTTTTACTGACAGTGGAGGTCTGTGGCACTCTGGTGATTCATCATCATTATAGCTAGCTAATAGCTCTCCCCATCACTGTACACACTAATTGTACTCTCTAATAGTACTCGCTGGTACTATCTTTCAACAGTGTTCACATGTGTGGATGAGTGAATGTGTCAGTGTATCTTCGGACATATATTCTCAGACTGCATGGACCAATGTGCATCAAATTTGAAATTGAACCAAATACATTTCCATTATCAAGTGTTGTGATATGTTGGAACACAACTTACGTAATCTTTGATTCTTCCTAAAAGTCACATTCACCTATTTGAATAAACTGTTCGCTTTTCATCTTTATTCCTGCTTTTCCTCATAAATGCACTTGCAATAGCGAGCGTGTTAAAGGAAACGTTCGCGGAAACAATACAATGGTGATGCGATCCATAACCATAATACAACGGACTATGTTATGCGTTCCACGAGGATTCCGTGAAAATGAACATCCACGCGAGAGTGCGTTCTCTTTCAGGCGTGCACGACTGGCACGAGTCACTTACTTCCGCTATCGTTGCACAACCGCAGCCTAGTTAATGCGCTGAGCAACTTTAAATTTTCCGAGAGTTAATGTCAACTGAGTACGGTAATCTTGGAACATCACAAACGCTGTAAATGTAGAAAAACCTTTCAGATTTTTTAAAAACTTGAACGTTCATTCACCTGCGCCGAGTGCAAAGTACTTCAATTTTCGTAATTGACTATGTAACAGTTTCAGACACGCGATCCATGAAGAAATTTTGCTCGCACCTTAGTATCTACATACCACGTTTTACCTAAAACTGTTAAGTAATATTTGTTAGCAATGATGCTGTAATATAATCTAGAATTTCATGTAGCCTACGTTCTACAAATAAAATACACAAACGAAAGAAAAAAGAACACATAAATCTTAGCCTACTTATTCCTAGAATATTCAATCTCGTCAGGTACCGAGACAAATGCCTTTCGCAATTACACCGAGTAAATCCTCGTCGTGTAATCCAGTAATTTTTCATCTCGTATAAATCAATAGCGAATCTACCTTCTAGATAGTCTATACAATGAACCACAATTATATAACCTTGTACCTGTTCGTTGTTCCCCGAGTTGACGTGACATAATCGAGCATCCTTTCGATGTCTTTGTCAGACACTGAACGATTAGTCAATACACAGGACGCACGCGGTCGTAGGCGTGTGCTTATATGCTAATGGCATTGATCTTTCGCAACGAGGATCGTCGATTGGAAAAGTGGACGGGCTAATAGCGTGGCTCATTCTTCTGATTCCTCTGACGGTTCGTTATAGACAAGATCTTTGGCGGGTAACCGCGTGAAACGCGTCGAGAGAAAGCGAGAAAGAGACTTTACGAGGCCGGGACGACCACCAGATAGTGCCATAACAACAACAAACATCTCGGGCACCAGAGAGAAACCAACCACTTTCGCTCTTTTCGCTGCTCGACCATGCGTTTTCATTTTTCCCCAATCGGGACATTCCGTTCTGACCACGATGCTCCTCTCCTTTGCAGTTTTCTACTGTCGGTCGCGCTGCAACGCTCTTTATAGCATGCTTTTTACGAAAGTCGTCGTTTTTGGCGTTGGCCAACTTGGACAGATAGAAAGTTTCCACGAGTTAGAAATGTGGACACGATCAGACGCGTTGCTAGACGTTGTGGATCGAGGAAGCTGAGGAACCTATGGAATGTTGATATCTCTAGAGATTTGGATCGTGGTAGATTGGTCAGATTAATAGTATTAGGTCTGTAAGTTTGACCACTGTTCCTTGCATCACCATGTGGTACATATGAGTGGAATAGCTATTCGTTAAATCACATGTGGAATTCCCACAGGTTGATTAAACGAGTGCAGAATTGCAATGCGTTAAATCACCACACGTTGGATCACATTGCGTAGAATCATCTCATGTAGTATTACCTATGCGTAGAGTTACCGCATTAGATCACTTACACGCAGTATCACGTGTAGGATCAATACGAGTAACCACGCATAGAATCACCACAAGTAGAGCAACTACGCTTAGAATCATTACGAGTGGTACCATGTGTAGAATCATTACACGTAGAAACACCATAAGTGGAGTAACCACATGTAGGATCACTACAAGTGGAGTAACCACGCATTGAATCACCACGCATAAAATCGTTAGACCACTATATGTATAATCCACATTGCTAGATGTTAGTCTCGCGTGAAAGTGCAAGAATTAGACGAATCATTCTAATCTAAAAGTCTGATCCTAATCTAAATACAATTTAATCAACTTGCACTCGGGCAACATGACTTTTCACGCCATCTACCGAAATACATCTAAACGAAAAAGAAAACAGAAATGATTAAGGATTGAGAGAACGAAGGATATGTGGGTTCTCCGGTGAGCCACTGAATGCTTCGATCGATTTCGTCTCACTTTATTTCCCGAATACTTCTCAAGATTGTCTACATCGAATCGAACGCTCGTCATTTGTACTTATAGCGTTAACGTGACGCGTTCGCATCACAGTGAATACTGTGTCTGCCTCGCAGAGCAGAGCCCGCTTCGCAGCTCGCGGGATTCGCCGTGCGGAATTCCGAATACCTTGAACTGCGAAGAACAAGGTCATCGATAACCTCGTAACGGGAATGGCAATGGTAATAAAATATAACGGTATCATCGTCGTTATCATCGAGTACATCAACGGGGTGTAATAAAAATAGAAAAAGAAGCGTGATCCTCGCGATTGTCCGGTATTCACGAGCGATCGTTTCGGAAGTATTACGTTCACTATTTACACGAGCAACTCCTATCTCTTTTCGGTCCTGTACGGCGAACGCATCGAGCCTCGAGAACGGAAGACGTCGTAGAAACGCCGGTCACGCCGGTTAGGAACTGTGTTTTCTCGTCTTTCATTTTTTCCGCCTTTTACATCTGATTCGAGGCTCGACAAGTTTCCGCGCCGTTCAATTGCAAAGTGAAAACGTCCTCCTCGATAAATAAAGAATAACTCCAGATTGTCGAGGGAATCATCAGGACACGACACATTTTTCCGAGTCCCTTTGCCCTTGATTCGGCGTCGTCGACGTCGGTGTACGCTTCCTCGCGCAGGCCACAGCGTCGTTGGGCACGTACGAAATCCTGACACCACCGTATGCCCTTCTGGGGGGCAGGGCATACGCGGCAGCCTCGTCGGAGCTGGTAGACGAGCTGCAGGTGGAGCAGCAGCTCTCCACGTCGTCGTCTTCGCCGTCCATCCTCGATTTTGAGCTTCCTGCTACACCTACGATTATAGTAACATAGTATAGTAATCGATTAACGAGCACAGATGTAACTAGGTTAGTGCAGACATCGTAGTTATAGCGAGTGACGTAGATACAGCGTGCGATCTGGAAAATGTGCATGAAGTACTGCAGACGTGAGAGATTTATAGAATAGTAGATGCAGATGTGGGACAGAGATTCCCAAACTAGTAAAGTTTATTTAATCCATTATTTTGGAATGTGGACCTTGTCTCATAAATGTTAAGGAATCTCTGATCTAGAAGATCGGATCTAGGAGGATGTAGATGTAACTTCCTCAAGCTCTCTGAATGAAAAAGAACTGGTAGAATCTTCACCATTCTGTTAGTCGAAGAAGCTGTTTTAAAAGGTGTATCACAGCAAACAGTTCGATATAATAGATATAGCAGCAGTAATAGCAGAATCATCCATATGTATCATGCCACATAAAACCAATATCCACTCGAAGCCCTTCCTCCGAAAGCCAGTAAATTCCTCGGGGAAGCTTCTCATATTCGGAATACGAAAGTTCACGTACCCCACGCAGACGTGCTGGCGACTTCCTCCGGCTGTAAGCTCCTCGATCGAGACACATTCGTTCTCGACAAGGAGACGGGTGGCGGAGAGGGTGAGGACGACGAATTCCTGTCGTTGGCGGGGGAGATCGGAACACGCGACGACGCGTCGTGATCGTTCACGTCCAGATCCCCTTGAAACCGTACGCGTCGCGACGTCGGCGTCGGAGGATCCGTTTGCCCGATGACGAGGTTCGCCGGCAACGTCGCCGACTCTTGGGCCAAGGTTACGCCGGACATAGCTCCGACGACGCCGGTCGATGTGGACGTCGACGCCGACGCCGATGCCCCGGAAGACGGCCGAGGAGGCGGAGGCAGCTCCGGCATGCTCGACGCGTGGGATGGAGCGCAATTCTGAACGCACCTTAACGGCTCTCGATCCCTAGCTTGCATCAGCCTGAGAAGAAAGAGTTATTGACTGGGTTAATTGGCTTGAACTATCGTTTGTTTTGCTAGACGAGTCGTAATCATGATTATGAATGAACTGCTAAAGGTTTTATGCGTTTAACCGGTCTTAAACCAGATTATGATTCCACAGAATTTGCTTTGTGTCGTGTGAGAAATAACCTGCCGAAGACCAGTATTTCTGCAGATCCTGATTAGGATCCTCCTGGTGTAACAGTTAGGGTCTGAATAAGAAGCTAGATTGCGGATGCTCGTGCAGTTGTGATACACAATCCTAATGTAGTTATTATACAGGAAATAAATTTTCTGCTTCTAACTGCGATGCAGATTTACACGTTCAACTTAAATGACACACCTTTCGAAGTCTTCAAAGTACCATTCTATGACATCCGCATGCATTACATAATTCATGATACATCTACAGTGTACTTATGTCTGGTTACACTACATTCTTCCGCTAATTTAGGACCGAATGTAATTCTATGTTTCGACACATTTTCAAAACTATTCAAAGAGTGACTCTGAATGTTCCGACAAGATCCTCAACAGATTCAAATAGGCGAAAGTCACCTTCCCAGTTCGCTGCGGTTTTCCTCAGGATGAGAAGTACGTTCTTGAAGTAGTCTCTCGAGGTTCCTTTCAAGAAGCACCCGGTCGAGACCGCTAGGTCTAGAGCCGCTAGAAGGAAACCCTTCGGCAGTGAATTCAGGACTCAGCGTACTCTGCGTGGGTGTCGTCGCCAGAGACGTAGACGTTTGATGGTGTTTCCTGGTCATTCGAGGCGAATTGCGTGGGGAACTCAGAGTATGCCTAGATCCTGGCGGAGGTGGAGGTGGTGGAGGAGGCGGTGGACTCGAGGATCCTTCGCTGGTTGGAGGTTGTCGTCGACCAGTCCTGCTCAGATGGTAATTATTAGGTTATTAGATTTTATACAAACTATTCTGTCATTGTAGTTAGGTTGTAAATCTACATCAAGCTTGTGATATTCAGGCATTCACGACATCGGGAGTTAAAGTCCTATCGACGTGAACTTTAATTGACCTTTAAAGTTACGACAGTGTAAAGACCGGTCTCCAAATTTATAGACTTCCGTAATTCTTGTATAATCAAATTGCAGAGGACCCGGGTCCAAAAGCTCCAAATACCATCTCCAAATTTTTATGCCCCAGAATTTGTACGTCCCTAAATACCTACATCCTCAAATTCATATGTCCCTAAACACCTACCTCCCCAAATTCACGTGTCTCTAAATATCTACATCCCCGAAATTCCTACATCCAAAATGTTCAAATCCTTAGAAGTAACTGATCGCAACATTTTGTGAGACGAGACTGTACCGTAGAAAGGAAGGTGGCGGCGGTGGCGGTCCAGCGGAAGAGTCGCTCGGCGTTGTTGGCGGTTCTCCCTTGCTACAGGCTATGCTGCAGTAAATGGCACCTCTTCGTGGCAGGAACGGTCGTCCGAGAAGGGACGCGCGGCAAGTGGCGCAGCAAAAGCAAGCCTCGGTCGCGTGCCAGTGCTGACCCTCGTGCGACATTTGCCCTTGATCGACGCCGATCGGTTCCCCGCAGCTGTCGCAGTACTCGGCGAAGGAGGCGTCGAAGCATCGAAGACAGTAAGGTCTGCCTTCCCTCATCACGTACCTTTGACCCCCGAGCTAGAACGATGACGCAAATTTAGCCCTCAAACCTCTTTCTGACTTTTGAAGACAGATTCCGTGCAAATGAGCCTGTGCTTTCCCAGGAGCTGGCTCATCCGGACCAGATTAAACCAGTCGTACGAGACCGATGTATAACGGCCGGTGAACGGGAGGTTGATGAAACTCGATGACTTTTGCCGAGAAACACGTTTTGTGGGATGACCGGGTAATAAGACCGCTTTGGACAGTGATACCGTTAATTATTAATTCTCCGTTTGCTGGTTTTAATCATTGCAGAACGGCGGGGTCTTTGATACGTTCTTTATTTGTGGGATTTAGAGACCAAGTTAGTTCTGTTCCATATGAATTAGACTTAAATATGAAACATCGGTAAAGCTTGAGGCAGTCTGATGATATAAATGTGCAGCAAAGTAGTAGTTATGGAACATGAATTTGAAGTTGCAAGGTTACATAAACACTGCGTGGAATGGCTGACTTATACGGTACACAAAATGGCTGACTGAAGCAAGCGACGGGCATCGAAAATCAACAATGAAGTAGCACATAATAACACTTAAAGCATACTTTGAACTTGAAAGTTTGCGGTAGATAAATACTATGTGGAATGACTCACATCACACAAAATAAACAACGAAGCAACACCTACTGACACATCATATGTTAAACTTTGAATCATAACCAAGATTTCAAGAAAAATACCACATACAAAAGTTTCAAACTATTTCATGCTATTTTCATATCAAATGTATCCAATCGTTAGGTCTAGAACAAACGAACAGGTTACAAAATCGCAAGGGTCATTAAGCTAATCAGAAGCAATCAGATCGCTGTCGAGGCAACAGTAGCTCACAAATAGCTAATGACATAGTTGAGAGTAGCAGAAGAAGCGGCCTTGAGCAACCAAGAGGATCTTGGACGATCAGTATGTACCAGTCATCGAATGTACGACAATTATCATCGATCGTGGCTGTCCCATGAATCAACATGCTCCTGTCGATCGATGCATCAACGCACAACGTTACGACGCTCGGAGACCTCAGAAAGGCGAAATAGATTCCATCGTCCATTATATCGCGTTCTGCACGGGCGATAAGAAGCATTGTCCAGGGTGCAGAATGCAACGGGCATGGCTATGACATTTATCGACACCTAGATTCAATGAATTATCGTGCACGAACCGTATGCCACGGACGGCCGTCACAGGATATAAAGGGGATAACTCCTGAGGCTGACAGCTAAATCGTTCCAACGCTCGGGGGTAAATGACTCTCAACGGACATGGTTACCGGGCGTAAATAATTGTCACGTTGCAAAAAATCCGATCGATCGAAGAATCTGTCTCGCTTCCTCTCCCGGCATCCCTCGGGTTGCCTTTTTTCAGTCCCTGCTCTTTTCCACCCGTACACGCTATGCAATGAAATCGTACTCGTTTTACGTCGCTAATCCGTTTCAGGTGATAAAGTTGCAGCCGATGCAGGGGTAATTAAAGCGAAGAAAACAAGAGGAACACGGCGGCTGAGTATCGAAGGTCTCCGATGAGTCGTCACGATAACACGAGGGAGAAGTTGATCCTGATCTATGCAGATCGGCATGCCGGTTATAAATTATGGGTTCGCGTGAATATGAAGAGGGCACTTATGCTCATTAGCGCGAATTATCGCTGCTTAAGATCGTTTAAGAATCTTAATTCGCATAAGAACTTGCCTTCAATCCTTTCGGAAAATTGTTACTCGTAATGAGACTACGATTGCTCACTTTTATGAGATCCAGTTTTTTCGCACAACGGTGCATTCTTTGCGTGTTTATGGAGATGCAATGTATTTCTCGAAATTTGAAAATCAGATAATCAAAGTTGGTGGTCCCTGATTATACCTGAGATATCCTTGTATCAATATTAACACAGAAATTAGAAAATACACGCGAGTTCTGTTACCAAAACCTGTCACCAGCGTTAACCAAACAAGCTAGACTCGCTGTCAGCCTCGTCATCTGGTAGGTGTTTATTCAACACCTTTTGAGCGCTGACGTGGATCTCCAGACGTCTCTTGCTCGAATGATGGATATAGATAATTTCTCTTCCTGATGTTATTCAGACAAGTCTGCGAATATGTATGCAGTCATTGTACATCAAGGTCTGTTATACGTTTGCGGAGTGGACAGATACGTTTACAGATCAGGCGACTTACAAACCTTTCACTTTTAGGGACAATGCATCGATCACCAATTACTGAAATCTTTAATTGAAGTTTTGTACATCTACATTTTGTTCCTTAACTTATTAATGTCTGTTCGAATGGTGTTCAGTATCTGTACACCGTTTGTACACCCATTAACAGTATACATTCATAAACAGGAGAAGCAAATGTACAAATGAATTGGTAAATGGGTACAATAAATTGGTAAACCATAATGGCCAACTAAATTGAACCAAAGTCTCGTCAGATATACCCAGAAGCACAGAAACACGTAGCCTAACATCGAAACCTGAACGAAAGCTCACGCAACAGATACCAGGGAATGCTCGCATCACGAAGAGATTTCAAGAAGAATCCAAAGAAAAGTAACAGGCGATTTACCTGTCGATCGCACTCGAGACAGGCAAAGTGCCTCATGTGCCAGGCCCTGCCCTCGGCCTCGGTGCACTCGTCGGCGAGAATGATCTCGTCGCAGGCGCAGCATCGCGGCTTCAAGGTCTCCGCGTGATGCCTGCCGCAGTAGAGTCTGCCATCCCTCCAGAAGTATATCAGGTCGACGAGCAGTTGCCTGCAAACGCAGCAGACGAAGCACGCCGGATGCCACAGCGCGGATGGACCAGCCCGGCTGGCAGCGACCGCCATTTCACCGGCGGCGATCGGCCTGGTGCACTCGCGGCACCCGGCTCCGTGAGGCCTGTCGAGTTGGCTCGCGTGTCCTCGTCCCAACGCCTCGCGTTTCCGCTGCGCGGCGAACACCCTCAGCTCCCGCTTCTCCTCTTCGGTTAACCCGCTGCAGTACCTCGCCTCGTTGTCGTGCGGCGGTAGCTGCTGCAGCAGCCCGCTCCCGCTCGCCGGCGCTGCCCGCGTACGGGATCTTGTCTTCCGGTAGCGCGCTGAAGTACAGGTGTACCTGCGACACACCGCGTGTACGCGCCGATTGTAATTAAGACCGATCGCCTGGAAGGCCAACGTAACCTTCGCCTCTTCTTTCGTTTCGAGCTATCACGCATTGGCGTAATTAGGGGATACGTTGAAGGCAAGTCACGGGTTCTAATCTGTTGTGGAGGGATTTTGGAGGTTTGGGGATTTGGGGATTTGAGAGCTCTGGGAGGTGAGGATTTGGGAATTTCGAGGTGTAGAGATTTGGAGGTCTCGGGATCTGGGGGTCTTGAGAGATCTGAGGGTCTCGAGATCTTGGGGTCTCGGGATCAGGAGGTCTCGAGATCTGGAGATCTTGGGATCTGGGCGTCTAGAGAGATCTGGGGGTCTCGGGATCTGGGGGTCTCGGGATCTGGGGGTCTCGGGATCTGGGGATCTAGAGAGATCTGGGAGTCTCCGGATTTGAGGGTCTCAGGATCTAGGGGTCTAGAGAGATCTGGGAGTCTCCGGATTTGGGGGTCCCAGGACCTGGGCGTCTACGGATTTCAGGACATAGGGTATTTCGAGATATAGACATTGGGGAGCGTAGAGAGTAGAGGATATAGGGATTCGGAGTTGCAGAGATTGGAGGATCAAGGATTCAAGGATGTAGTGATTCGAGGATCTAGGCAATCGGGAATCAGGAACTTGTAGATCTTAGATTCTGAGTCTTGAAGTCTTGAAGTTCTGACTTGGATTTAAAATCTTGAATACTCCTAAGATGATCTGGGGATTTGTACCTTGGAAATTAAGTTTGCAAATCAATTTGGAAACCGTAAAAACTTCTCAATTAATAAGTGTACGATGGAATCTACAGAACGATATTCTGCTATTACAGACCCACTAAGGTCCCCAGCTAGTTACGCCAATGGTGTGTAGAGGAATTTGAAGCGGAACCTTATTATATTCTCTGCGAGGATTACTGAAATTGAAAGGGCTGGGTTTTGGAAGTATGATGGATCGCCTGAAAGTATGCGCACTACATCGTTTCGATATGGGCGGTACAAGTAAAAAAAGTAGTTAAAAGTTAATAGTTCGATCCTGCAGATCAGGAGCAATTTCATTCTGTTACAAAACTCAAAAAGAAGCCTTCGCGGAAAAGGATCTCGCGTTATCGGTGAATCAGAAACAATTTTATCCTGACAGACTTAATTATATCGACATAAATAACAACGATGTATCATCCTGTATATTGCAACGCTTAATCAATTTTTCTGTCGATAAAAAAACACCGAGTTGCAAAGGCATTTAGTTTCTGCATGCGTATTCGTACGTGCTCTCAGGATGACAGAGTAGCTTAACAGCCTTGTCCAAAAGGGATTCAAGGATGCTACATGTTAAAAGCTTTGTTTATCGCCGTCGAGATGCCCGATATTGATCGTCCATGAATAATTCAGATACGAAATGCTTACAGTTACACGGGACGCGTGATGGACTCCTCCCTTGAACAAAACATTGGGAACAGGTCTCTTGCTTTTATTTCTCTGCGTTCTACTTATGCGTTTTGACCGCGTTCGATGGATCTACGTCAAGAAATTTAGGTACCATTTCCATAAATATTCACTGGAAGGCAATTTAGATGATCGGAGATTCGGAGAACTCTTCAATATGTTATCATAGCTCTGAACGATGTTTAGGGTACAAAATTAGAGTCATTATCTAGAGAGAAATCATGATTCCACCATATTGCTGGTTTTGTTCTATCTGTCCGATTAAGAAGGTTTTGCAAGAAATGTGGGATCTGAAACTCCCGGAAATTTCCCATGATTCTAAACCATGTGTTTTGGGTGCCTCAGAAACTGCCCCGATAAATCTCGCGGAGAGAAAGTCAACCTTTGTGCAAACCTAAAAGTCACCGCGTATGCCGCACGGCGTATCAAGGCGCGCCCACTTGATACTCCGAAGGTCTCGAAAGTTTCGCAATGCTCGAATCTTTTGGTGAAACCTCTTTCCTTTCGAACCATTCGCAAAACCGTGCAACTCGATTCTACTTAAAAATTAGTTCAAATATGCTGCTAATACGAAGATGATGAGAAGATGATACAACTCATGATAAGGTCTAGGATTAAGTCTACTTTCAAGTCTGACTATTGTGAGCGATCAAATACTTTACCTAAATAAACTATACTACTTAACTAAAGAAACAGAAGTCTCCTTTCTGGGACATTTCAAGACTCGTACACGTGTAATTGCATTTTGAGTCTCTGTTCAGACACAAGTAAAAAGTGCATCGTTAAAAAAATGTGCTTGGAAGGTAAAAGAAGAAAATGTCTGTCTCTCGAAAGGAAGATCGAGCGTTTCCATACGTCGAGGACACAGGCTCAGAAAGGAGCGGAATCAGATGGATATCGGTGGAGATCAGTATTCGAAGCAGAGAGGTTTCTTACCTGATCCGGCCTGAGACCAGGCGGCACCCACGTGTACTCCTCGAGCGCGCATCCGCTGTCATCGTCGCTCTGCGAGTGCCTCTGATGATGCATCAGGGCCTCCTGAAGCGCGAGCCCTGCTGGAGCCGCTTGCATAGGACTCTTGAAGGGTTCCTGGTGAGAAGAACCGGCGGCCCCGCTCTGGAAAGCCATAGCCATGGCCATCGGCGGACCAGGACCGAGGCCGAGTCCCGAGGGACCGCCCGCCTCCGTCGAAGTCCGCTGATGCTCCTCCCTGGGACACCTGCAGCTTCTGCACACTTTCCTGAAACAAGAAATCAGGTTCTTCATTAGTATTCACACTTTAACGACGTCTTTGGTTCACTCCGACATTCACACTCGGTGTAATTTGTAACGGAACGTGTGTGGTACTTCTACCTTCGAATATACTTATACTCGATGCTTTTGGTAATGGTCTTTGAAGTCTTGTGACAGCGATAGGTTTGTGGGATGTTTGATCAACATGTTTGAAGAATAGCATAAAAATTTGTATAAGTGATATCAAGTTTAAAAACCTTTAATGTTGTGCGATTTGTAGTGATACGTTTGAGTGACGACTGATCAGAACAATTGCATGAAAACATTTTCCATGTAACATCAAGTTTCAAAAGTGTTAAACATTGTGCTATTTGTAGTTATAGGTCTGTGCGATGTTTGATCAACAATAGGTTTGAACAATAGTATAAAAGTTTGTACAAGTGACATCAAGTTTGAAAGTCTTCAATGTTGTGTGATTCGTAGTAATAGGTTTGAGTGACGACTGATCAGAACAATAGCATGAAAAGTTTTTTCAAGTAACATCAAGTTTCAAAGGTGTTTAACATTGTGCTATTTGTAGTGATAGGTCTGTGCGATGTTTGATCAACAACATGTTTGAACAATGACATAAATATGTGTACAAGTAACATCAAGTTTGAAAGCCATCAATGTTATGCGATTCGTAGTTATAGGTTTGAGTGACGACTGATCAGAACAATAGCATGAAAAGTTTTTTCAAGTAACATCAAGTTTCAAAGGTGTTTAACATTGTGCTATTTGTAGTGATAGGTCTGTGCGATGTTTGATTAACAACCTGTTTGAACAATGGCATAAAAATTTGTACAAGTGACATCAAGTTTGAAAGTCTTCAATATTGTGCGATTTGTAGTGATAGGTTTGAGTGACGACTGATCAGAACAATAGCATGAAAAGTTTTTCCAAGTAACATCAAGTTTCAAAGGTGTTTAATATTATGCTATTTGTAGTGATAGGTCTGTGCGATGTTTGATTAACAACCTGTTTGAACAATGGCATAAAAATTTGTACAAGTGACATCAAGTTTGAAAGTCTTCAATATTGTGCGATTTGTAGTGATAGGTTTGAGTGACGACTGATCAGAACAATAGCATGAAAAGTTTTTCTAAGTAACATCAAGTTTCAGTGGCGTTTAACATTGTGCTATTCGTAGTGATAGGTCTGTACGACGTCTGATCAGAACAATAGCACGAAAACTTTTTCCAAGTGACATCAAGCTTGAAAATTACTGTACGTGACTGATGATTGGTTAAAGCATTAATTGTAGATATAATGTCACCGTTTAATGATTATAATGTACATGTGGGTTTATGAAAAATAGCAATATTAATTATAAAAAGTCAAATAGATAAAACTTCCAGTATTTGAAGTGCACTAGAAACTGTATATACAAATCGTGAAGGTTAAGAAAAGGCAAATACTAATTGTAAAGAGTAGAAAAATCCAAATCCCAATCTGATAGAGCATGACAGCCCAGACTGCAAATAACAAGAAGTACAAAAAGTGAATATCTAAAAAGTATCTAGAGTCTAGAGTCTAGAGTATAAAAAGTAATTGCGAGTAGTATAAAAGCAGAAAGTAATTGCGCGAAGATATAAAAGAAAATACCAATCGTAACGGGTACGTGAAACTGAATACTAATAACGGAAAGCAAATGGACGGGCGAATACTAATTGTATGCAGCGTGTAAACACGAATACCAATGTCGTGAACATCCGCGTATCGAGATATCGATTAAAACCGAACTGTAAAAAGTAACAGTCTTGTAAACGAAGATACGGGAATTAATTGAAATTAATCGAACCTTTCCATAAAAAAACGATGAATACTGTTTCATTAGCATTTTCGGCGCCTCGGAACCGTTGATCGCCGTTCGAACTTTATTATAGACGAAACTGTACAAACATATCCAACGCAACACAGAATTCATGCTGGCAGCCACACAAGCTGCATATTAATATCGAACAGTGTATTCGGAGAAGAATGAAGAAATTCCATTCCCACGGGAAGCAATAAATTCGCTTCCCATTAGCATTCGGAAATTCGAAGAAGCGCAGGATTCTCTTCCCGGTTTCGAAATTAATTCGACATTTATTTACGGTTATCCCGTGCACTTTTCGATTATTTTTTCGCCGCAAATCACAGCGTTAAAAAGCAAAGTGTCCGGGAAGATAAAGAAAATGAATAGTTAGCGTGTTCCCTTCAATTTGTCTTCAGCATCCTTAAGAACTGCTGGCACGACCGTGCGTAAGAACCATAAACGCTTATTCTGACATTCGAGATTACACAGGATGTAAGGCCGCGAGTTCTCAAAGTCGGAAGTGCGGGCAACGTGTAACCATTTAGAGAATGCTTTATCATTACGCGAAGAACGACGAGAAATCCTCTAGCGTGGCAATGAATCGTATTTGCATGGGAAATGATGAATTGACATCGAATGGCGGGCCTGATTACACGGTAACCCCTGCAGTTCCCGAGCTAAAACCGTTTCACCGATATATCGTAATTTAAAAAGCAATTTGTTTCTGGCCACACGACCACTACTCTATTATGTTTCAAAAATGCACCCAACAGATTCAATCTTCGACGAAACGTGCAAATTTACTTCCACGGAAAATTGATCCGATTACGGCAGCCTAGCAATTTGCTTGCAAAATTATTCGCGAAAACAACGAGGCGCAAAATAAGACAACGTAGCATCCTTTCGCTGCTGGACCCTGATCTTCTCGGTAATTATTGGTTAATTTTTTGCCGTTACCCGCAAATTAGATCTCACACGGCGAAATGGTGGATCATTTTCACTCGGATGTTGCGCAGATATTATTATGCAACAAAGAAACAAAGATAATCGTTGCAAAATTGATTGTAAGGGGTGTGGGAAAAACGAGTACCACAGCGGCGGAAACCGAATACCTGTATAAGGCGTAGAAAACCGGGTACTAATCGTTGCACTTGCTGAGAAACCAAACAGTAATCGCAGAGAGTGTACACAAACCATGTATTAATTGCGAAGGGCTGTTTGGCAACTAAGTACAAAAGGTTGCAAACAATTGGAAAACCTAGTACTGATCATGGAAAGGGTAGGACCCTGAATAATAATTGCAAATAGTGTGCAAAATTGAATTATCAGAGGACATCAAATACTAGTTAACGCACGTGTAAACTGGATATTGATTGTAATGAGAGGTGTACGTCGCTAATTACGAACGATGCGAAGATGCAGACGCTAATTGTGCAAGGTCTGGAAACCTGAACACTAAACAGCGTAAATCCAAGAACTTGGGTACTAATTGCAAACTATTAAAAAATCCACGAGTATCCATGAGATCCAGACACAAGTCGCAGTCTCTTGATATACCGCAATGAGCCATAGGTCAAAACGACTCATCATTCACAATTACGTTCACTGTTCACTTATATCGTCGACGAGAAAGAATCCGATCGGTCATAAGAGCGGGACCAAAGGAAGGAGCGGTGGCAACGAGGGCATCTCTCGGACCACTTTCCCTGGCGATCGATCGCTCGCGAAACGAGAGCAATATCGCGATCAACTCACTCGTGTGAAGCGGCGGCGACATCGTAACCCGAATGCAGGGAGCTGCAATCGGCCGCGCGGCTGCATTCCGGCTCCTCTAGCCGGCGATCGTTTTCGAAGCCCGCCGCGGCATCGTGGGCACCGTTCAGGAATTCCACGCACTTCTCCGTTGGGCTAGTCCTCGAGGTGGCCAACGCGGGGCAGCCGACCACCACGCCGACCACGTCGTCCTCTTCGTTGCCGTCCTCGCGATTCCTCAGGAAGGCGTCCAGGTAGTGCTCCTCGGTGGAGGGCAGCTCGTAGACGGTTCCGGGCGTCCAATTAGTCCCGAGGTCCCTCCTTCCGGCCGTCTCGTCCTCGACCTTTCCGGCTTGCTCGTTCTTCCTGGCGTACAGCTTCCGGAGGTAGGCTTCCT